GTCACCGACCAGGGTGATGTAAAACCCAGCCACAGTAAGGTATCACCTCACTCTAGTACAAATGGCTATCCACAAAGACAAGTGCTGGCAAGGATGTCGAAAAAGGGAACTAACTCCTGGTGTACTGTTGGTGAGAACGTAAGTTAGTGCCTCCTCTGTGGGAAACAGTACAAAGGTTCTCAAAAGAATCAAAACCACAACTACAAGATTCAGCAATCGCACCATCCGGGATAGCTACAGAAAATGAGATAATGTGTATCGTACACACTCCTGTATCGCAGAGCAATTCACTATTGCCAAGGAAGGAAATGACTTAACTTTAACATCCATCAACAGCTGGGTGGGTAACAATGAAATACTGTCCATCTATAAAAGGGAATACAATCCTCTTTTTTGCAATAGCATGGATAAAATTGGCAATCGTAGTGTTAGGTGAAATGAGCCAGGCTCAGGAACACAAGCACTGAGTGGTTTTGTTCAGATACAGAATATCAAAAAGTTGGCTGGGTGGCGGTGGCACATGCCTTTAATCCCAGCACTTGGGAGGCAGAAGCAGGAGGATCTATAAGCTCGAGGCCCAGTCTGGTCTACAGAGTGAGTTCTAGGACATTCAGGGATACACAGAGAAATACTGTCTTGAAAAAAAAAGAAAAGAAAAAAGAAAAAAAAAACACCTCAGCTAGGCAAGGTGGGATACACCTTTAAGCAGAGGCTGAGGTCACCCTGAACTACATGAAATCCTGTCATTTTTCTGTTTTGTTTTGTTTTGTTTTGTTTTTTAAAGGGGTAGAGGGACTAGAGAGATGGCTCAGCAGTTAAGAGCACTGGCTGCTCTTCCAGACCCAGGTTTGTGATGGTGGGTGAGCATAGCTGCCTTCCAGAAGACCCAGGTTCAGTTCCCCAAACCTTACATGGTGGCTCACACCATCTGTAACTCCAGTTCCAGGGAATCTGATGCTCTCTTCTGGTCTCTGTGGGCACTGCATACATGCAGTACACAGACATACATGCAGGCAAAACACTTATACACATAAAATAAAAAATTTTAAATAAATAAAAGACAAAAGTAAACACAAAACAGTTCATTCTACAGAATCTGAGAGCAGA